CGGCTAGGGACTCTACAGCGAGGCACGCATCAGAAAATTGGGCAGAGATAATTTGTTCAACATGCGAATTTGCTGGATAACGGGGGCAGAGTCGAAGTTCTTACTTAGCTACCTAGTAATGTACTAAGCTGGAAATGGGTTTTATTCATGCCTTGGTTGTGCTGCAGGAGGGAGAAGCTTACTCCTGGGAGTTTGATGAAGGCGGTTATCCGGTCAGGCAGGGGAGACGCGACTCCTGCAGATGGAGATCAGGTCAGGGCTGGTTATTTTCCCTTCGTTCCAAACCTTTATTTGCTGCAGACTATTGTGACATAGGGCTTTGTGAATCAAACTTTTGCCATCTTACTACCCTCAGCCTTTGAGGCCCAGTGCTCTCGAGAGTTTTATTGCTACTGCTAGGCTAACTTATGAACAATTGAAAAAGTATGTACATTGACCACATGGTGTATGTGGTAAGCAACCTCAAAACAAACAATGTCAAGAAAAAGTATGTACATTGAATTGAGAGTACCAAGTAGCGATGTCTCTGAATGATGTTTGTTCAGGATAGAAGTTTGTTCGTCACCGGGTGGGCTGGGCTGGCTTTATAACTCTATGTATTTTCTGATGACAAATACATTCTAGTTGATTGAACCAATCATCAATTTGTGCAATATCCATCTATTCATTTAAAAACGGATGATCACATCACGGCTCAAATTTTGAGGTGCTGTTCAGCACTCAAGATAATACAGACGAAATCATGTGCCTTTATGTCCTATAAATGTTCAGGGCCCTCATGATGGCTTTCTCGACCTTTCACTGGACAATCTCTGATTTCTTTTTTGTTATAGGAGACAGTGGGACATTTCGTGGTCAAACTCTTTCTTAATTCTAGTCATTTTGCAGGTCATACTTCATTGCACTATTCGAACCATGGAGGGCATTGTTGTGAATTCTACAAGAAGGGAACATGGAGGTGATTAGGCAAAACACATTTAGCACAGCACTAGTGCACTACATATATACAGTTCTTTTAGTTTACAAACACCATCAGGATGCTTCGGACTCGACAGATTCTTATCTTCATAGAAATTTAGTGCTTCCATAGCCATCTTCCTGTCGGTGTAGCTTTCAAGTATGAAGCTACAGATTTGTAGTCTTCTGATAGCAGATATAACGTTAAAGTTTGTGCATGCTGCGAATAAAGAAAAAAAAACAGTTCAGTGATATCGAGCTTTGCTTGTTAACCCTTCCAGTAAAAGCACTTCCACTATGCTTCCTTTCATCTTGCATTACGACATATATTAGGTTAGACGAGATAAATGTAAAAACTTTTGTTAGGATATCTATCTTATAATTCACTTTCACTGCCACATGCATTTATTAGTATCTATACCTTTCTCTTTTTTTAGGTACTCAGCTCGGTGTATTGTGGCTCTAATCATCTCGTTTTACCATTATTATTATAACAGGAAAAGGAATCCCACTCAGATTTGTGTTGGGGAAAAGCAAAATGATCCTTGGCTTTGCTGAAGGCTTTCCAACAATGCTGAAGGGTGAAATTGCTATGGTATTCTGTTAAACAGAGTGCAACTTGTAAATTAAATAACAAAAATGTTGTAGGAAGGGCACATATTTCTGAGAATGCTATGGTTCGAATACGCATGTCCTGAATTTGCAAATATCTACTGCTCTCTCTAATCCCCCATCCCGTGGTCACAATCTATCTTTTCAGTTTAAAATGGAGCCGAAAATACACTATGCAGAGGATGATTGCCCGGTTACACCTCCAGATGGCTTCCCAAAAGATGATGAGCTTCAGTTTGAGGTTGAGATGTTGGATTTCTTTAAAGCCAAGGTTAGTCTTGTTATGATTTGAGCATGATACGTTGTATATATTTCGGAATCATGATGGTACAATGGTTCTGATGTATTTTCAGCCATTAATTTCCTTTTGTACTTATAAATCGATCAATTTCAGCATGGTATGAATCTGAAGAGTTATGCAATATGTTAATTAAGACTCTGTTCGCAACATAATAGCCACCTAAAAGAGCTGTTCGCCCTGCATGCATCCTTCTGCTGTTGCCGTGCACATCATTGCTACTGTTGCACACGATGCTTGCCCCACACCATAATGATGGCTTTCATGGTTACCGATTATTTCTGTTACCATCTAGGATGTTGGGCCAATATATCTCACGAAGAACTACAACATCACCATATGTGTAATGTATCAGTATACAGCATAATAAACTGTGTGAACGATAGAGATTTGTATTTCTATCTTTCATGATTAGGTGAATGATATCGATCATGACATGGCATCCCCTATGGGAACTATCGAGTTAACTGCAACACACAAGTAAGCATGTTGGACAGGTTCATATAAGCTCCATTCGCCAAGTCGATGCCCTAATTTTTTTTCTCTTCTTCTAACCCCCGGTCATGGTTTAAAAACCGAACCGGTGAGACTGTCGATTCAGATTTTCAACGGTCAGACCACCAACTCATTGGTTAATTGACAACCAAAAACAGCAATATTTAAGCTATTTTTTCAGAAAAAAATGACCCCAGATCAAATGGGTAGACATAATATTCGATGTAATCCATTAATAAATCACAAAGTGTTGCTAGCCCAGTTGGTTATTCGGCCTTTAGCGTGCCATGGCTCAAGGTCAAGGGTTTGATCCCTGCACCATTTTCTTAATATTTCCCTGTTTTTTTTTACTAAAAGACCAATGCGTCATAAAAAACGGAAAGGCTCCGGTTCCGATTTTTCTAATCAGACCGCCGGTCCGGTCGGGTTTTTAAAACTATGCCCCAGGTAGTTGATTTCCTGACTCCATGACTTTGTACTCACTGCAATGCCTAGTACCAATCAGACACATCAACAACAACAACAAAGCCTTTAGTCCCAAACAAGTTGGGGTAGGCTAGAGGTGAAACCCATCAGATCTCGCGACCAACTCATGGCTCTGGCACATGGATAGCAAGCTTCTATGCAGCCCTGTCCATAGCTAGTTCTTTGGTGATACACCAATCCTTCAGGTCTCTCTTAACGGACTCCTCCCATGTCAAATTCGGTCTACCCCGGCCTCTCTTGAAATTCTCCGCACGCTTTAGCCGTCCGCTATGCACTGGAGCTCCTGGAGGCCTGCGCTGAATATGCCCAAACCATCTCAGACGATGTTGGACAAGCTTCTCTTCAATTGGTGCCACCCCAACTCTATCTCGTATATCATCATCCCGGACTCGACCCTTCCTCGTGTGGCCACACATCCATCTCAACATACGCATCTCCGCCACACCTAACTGTTGAACATGTCGCCTTTTAGTCGGCCAACACTCAGCGCCATACAACATTACGGGTCGAACCGCCGTCCTGTAGAACTTGCCTTTTAAGCTTTTATGGCACTCTCTTGTCACAGAGAATACCAATCAGACACATAATAATATTATTTGCCACATTCGATTCGATTATTGACTCTAGTTTTCTCTCTCTTTCAGGTCGTGACTGAGGATTTAGGGGTTGTAAAGAAGGTAAACAGACATTCTATATTGATAGCATAAAATATATTCAGTTTTATCCAGTTGGGATTTTTAAATACTTTATTTTATTTATGTCTGGAGCACCTGTTTGATATTTTTTGTGCTTTCCAAAGTTAGCACAGTAAAAGGATTCATATATTCAGTTTGGGATTCCCCAAATGTTATCGGCATCCTTTACTCCCATGTTAGACTTTTTTTGTTGGTTATACAATAAGAGGTCAAGTAAATGAGAGCAGATGCTTCAGCATTGTGGCAAACTTATCATTGCTCTTTGGATGTGGCAGATAGTTGATGAAGGCAAGGGGTGGGAAACACCTAGAGAACCATATGAAGTGACAGCACGGTAAATGTTTATTTTACTCTAAATCTAATAAATTCTGCTTAGTGCTTGGCAGCGTTAGCACATAGTTTTTCTTTCTTTATGGTTAGTGCCCAAATGCTACATAATTGACATCTTTAATATGACTACTAGAAAGCTGAAGTGTAAACTGAAATTGTAGTTGCATTTGATGATACAAACATATAGTGGTCAATTTGCACAGAAAGGGATGAGGGGATACAAACCACTGAGACTATAAGGAAGTGAGCCTAGTTCACTTGGTCGGGGGAGTGAATGCAATCCTACTTCTGGGTTCAAGTCCTCATGGACATGAATTTGTGTTCCTATTTATACTGTTGGGGGCTTCCCTTGCAGTTTCCCTTCAAAAACCACGAGTAAATGAACCCACCTGCTTGTCGACTGCGTCTTCTGGCATCTAGTTTGCTTCAAGGCGCTGTCATGGATAAGATCTACGGCAACAGCGCCATCTCCGGCGGGCGGCAAAGAATTCGCTGACTTGTTGAGAACAATGGTTGTGGTCACTCCCTCTGCGCTGAGGCACGGGACAAGCTCCATCATGGATTTGGAACCGAAGGAAACATATCTTTTCCTCAATGATACCCCAGCCATACTCGACCTCCTAGACACGGTCGACTGCGTCTTTTGGCATCTAGTTTGGTTCAAGGTGCTGTCATGGATAAGATCTACGGCAACAGCGGCATCTCCGCGGGCGGCGAAGAATTCGCTGACTTGTTGAGAACAATGGTTGTGGCCACTCCCTCTGCGCTGAGGCACGGGACAAGTTCCATCATGGATTTGGAACCGAAGGAAACATGTCTTTTCCTCAATGATACCCCATCCATACTCGACCTCCTAGACACGATCGGGGAGGCAAACCCTTGGGTCACACCGTCCTGCCCAATGGTTAGACTTAGGGCTCTTTTTGTTCACTTGGCTGTAGCCTACTGCAGACTCGTAAATAACACTTTTCCAGCTCTATCAGTACAACAAGGCATAATGCTTTGTGTTTTCTCGGGGGAAATAGATAGATAACTAAATTAGCATCTGTTATGCCATATTGGTGCTGGAGAGCAAGACAGCGGTGTTTTATGGTGTTGTGTCTAAATTACCCTTGTCCAGAACTTTTGTCTGATAGGCATGCCAGGCTTCCTTTACTTCTACTGCTTTTCATCTTCCTTTCATGCCACAATTGCTATTGTTGAATTATATGTGGATTGCCCAACCTTCTCCATCAGTTCGGACTTTTGGTTCTACTGGTTGGTGCATGAAACTTAATATGGTATTAGAGCCAAGAGGTCTTGCGCTCAAGTCTCGGCTTTCGCAATTTAATAAAAAAATTGCTTGCCTTCTCTTTGTTGTTGAAGTATATGTGGATTGCCCTACCTTCTCCATCAGTTCACACTTTTTGTTCTACTGGTTGGTGCATGAAACTTAATAGCTATATCTGTCACGTGCAACCGTGACATGGGTATGTGGGTGAGGGGTGGAGTCTGTTAAGCCTATTCTAGGTACTGGTCCTGAGAGGATGACTGTTGTATGTGAACCCATGTTCAGCCTGGCCCATAAGGCCCAGGCCCGTTCCAGTGATCTAGAAGAGGAGGCAGACCATGTCTGGTCAGTTGCGCCCGCAACACACACGAACCAGCAGCCGCTGGGGTACGTATCTCTCTCTTGTCAACATGGTATCAGACCAGGTCGGGGCACTGGAGCTGGCGGAGCCAGCGAGGAGGAGGCGGCGCATCTGGGCGTGGCTTCTGTGTGTGTGCACGGCGTGCGTGCGGCTATGCGCCGGCTGCGCGGGCAACGTCTGCTGCCTCGGTTCGGCGAGGAGGTGGAGCTGGAGGCGGCGAGCTTGGATGAGGAGAGGAGAAGGAGGAGCTGCTGCTGCTGCTGAGGGAAGGAGAAGGAGGAGCTGCGGCTGCTGCTGAGAAGAGAAGAAGGTGATTGGAGAGGAGGAGGAGCTGCCGCTGCTGCTTGCTGTTTGTGGTGAGAAGGAAGAAGACGCAGTGCTGTGCTGCTGCTGATTTGCTTCTGCATGCATGCTGATTGGAGAAGAAGGGTTTGAGTGACCAGATTGCGAGCAGACTATCCGGTAGGGCCTGTGGTCCTGAAGGTGGCAGTGACTGCTACTGAGAGCTGCTGCTGATTCTGCTGCTGCTAGCTTGGTGCTGGTGCATGTAGCAGAGGCTCTCACAGCTAAGTGAGTAGCTGAAGTGAGTGATCCTGATGGTGGTGTAGCTTTGTTGTTGTGGCTGCTGATTGCAGAGGAGGCAGCACTAGTGGTGTTGCCACACAAAATTGCAGCGTGACACCACTATAACCGTCGTGCTTTCGTGGCGACGAACGATTGCTTTACAAGCAAAGCAACAAAAATCTCCTCGCTTTGTTAGAGGAGAGACGACCGCTTTTCAATGCAAAACGGCAAAGATCAACCAAACCCTAGGGCTGCCAGGGCTCGGCAGGAAGAACAACAGAAAGAAACGAACGTGAAAAAGTAATATGTATTTTGTGAATATATCGATTGGTGTTTTTTCAATCAGCCACGGCCTTACATTTATATTGGCACGCTGGACTTGGCGTATACAAAAACGATTCCAAAGCTAAACCGACTAGAATCTGGCCATCTTAATTGGATTACCATGTATAGCACGATTACCATATATAGCACTTTACGTTTTTAATCGGCCAGCTAACACGCATAGCTAACCTGCATGGCAACCCCTCTTGGCCATATTCACATATACAAGTACTCATCGCCTTGCCTTTTATGAATAAAATATTCCGGCCACGTCGCTAATCACAACACATAATGGTGATCACGTATGAATGATATTTCTCCACTCTTCACGCGTATTTCTGCATGTTGCATTTTCCCTTATGTAACTCCACCCGTAGCATTGCAATCTTCAGCTTTGACCTCTGATCCTTGTTAGGACTTGTCCTAGGTAGCATTGTGGTAACTCTGAAATACTGTGAGTATGGCTAGGACATGTCCAAAGTATCCTCTTGTCCATGAAAATTCCTGTTGCAATCGTTACAAAAAATAGTAACTGATTAGCTTGAATGACTATTAATTAATGGCCTATCAACAGACTACTAGCCAAATTACACCATGAACAGGTGGCACAGCTAGGAGAAGACGAGATGGAGTCTCTTGTCAATAGAGTGATTGTGACTGAATCTGAAACTGCAAATGAGAAAGAAAAGGTGAGGATTGGTTTGGAAGAGATTAGGAGGAAGATCATACTGTTAGACGTGCATAGTCCCTTTTCGGTATATCCCCATTGTATAAGGGGTTTCTTGCACTTTGTCACACATGTATATGTAATGGCCTTTGGCCCTCAGTGAATACTAGTTGCCATTTATCCAACATGGTATCATATGCTAGGCTAGCCTCCCGCACGATGCAACTCCGTGCCTCTCGTTCCTAGCCTGCCTGTCTTTGGTCGTCCGGCCGCTGCATCTCCGGCCTCCTCCCCCGTCCCCGGCCCGGCTCTGCTGCCTCTCCGTTCGGCCGCTGCATCTCCAGCCTCCTCCCCCGTCCCCGGCCCGGCTCTGCTGCCTCTCCGTCCGGCTGCTGCAGCCTTTGTTCCGTTTGGCCGCCGCCCAGTCCGGCCGCCGTCGAGTCCGGACTGCTCCGTCTGGTCGCCGCCTAGCCCGGCTGCTGTGGCCGACGCCCGTCTCGTTCGGCCGCTGCCTCGTCTGCCTGCCCCGTTCGGCCGCTGCTCCCTTCGGTCCGGCCTCGATTTGGAGCTGCCCCAGGCTAGCTGCTCCTGCCCGGTGCCCCGACTGCGCCTCTCGATCTGGCCTTGGTCGCCAGGGCCTCTCGCCCTTGCCTCGCGCCTGAGCGTGAGCGCTCCTGCCCGCTTCGCTCGATCTAGATCTGGTTTGTTCAGGTAGTTGACTTCCAAAAAAAAAGTTCGCCATGTCCTCTTCGGGCTATGTGGCTGTCCCTCACTGTTCGGTGATCTTCGATGGCACCAACTATGCTGAGTTTGTGGTTTTCATGCGCATCCATATGCGTGGACTTCTTCTATGGGGTGTCCTCTCTGGCGAGGTCCCTTGTCCGCCATGTCCTGTTGCGCCCGTGGCCCCAATCCCACCGGTGCCGCCGACACTTGCTGCTGATGCTTCTCAGGCTGACCGGGATGCCGCCAAGGCTCTAGATGATGTTGCGGTTGATGCTTATGATCAGCTGGTATCCGCTTATTCAGATGCTCTTTCTGTGTACCGCGATGATCTGTCTGCTTACACTTAGTGGTGCAATGATGATGCTTGAGCTGCTGCTGTTCTCACTGCGAGTGTCCTTCCTCAGTTTGCTTCGGAGTTCATGGGACTTGGCACAGTTGCAGCGATGTGGTCTTATCTCTGTCAGCGCTATCAACCCTCTGGTGATGCTCTCTACCTATCTGTGGTGCGTCAGGAGCACGCACTCCAGCAGGGTGATTCTTCTGTTGATGAGTTCTATTCACACTGCTCTGCCATCTGGCGCCAACTTGACTCTTTTCGGACAGTTGTTTGTGGCGCTTGCCGCTGCTGTCAGACTACACTGTCTAATTTGGAGTTTCAGCGGGTCCATGAGTTCTTATTTCGTCTCCGCTCTGAGTTTGAGCCCCGACGTGCTCACTTGCTTGCTCGTGGTCGTGTTCCTATCTCGAAGGTATTTGCCGAGCTTCGTGCTGAGGAGACCCGCCTTCGCTCTGCTGGGTTGCTGGTGGTTTCGTCGCTCTGCTGGGTTGCTGGTGGTTCCGTCTGTATTGGCTGCTCGGGCTCCTGTGTCGTCTGCTCGGCTCACCGCTCCACCGCTCCTACCCACACCTTCAGGGGGTGGGTCGCCCTTCTTATACTGAGAGGGGCCGGTCGCGCTGTGACACCTTCTGTGGCTACTGCTCTCGGCCAGGTCACCTAGAGTCTGATTGCCGTGAGAAGAAGCGAGACCAGAGGCGCTCCTCTTTCAGTGGGACTCCTGGATCTTCCTCGATTCCGTCACTCACTGACCAGGACATTGTGAGGCTCAAGCATCTCTTGGCTTCCTCAGGCTCTTCGTCGACCGGTTTCGCTGTTGCTGTGACTGCATCCACTTCACCACCGCAGGCATCTACATAGTCAGGTACATCTTCGTGGGTTCTGGATTCTGGAGCCTCCTTTCATATGTCTTCTGATTCTTCTGTGCTGTCTTCTCTCCGATCTCTTGATTCGCTTGTTAATGTTCTTACCGCCGATGGCACACCTCTTCCTGTTGCTAGTCGTGGTCGTCTTTCCACTCCATTTTTTTCTGTTCCTAGTTCACATGTTCCTCGCCTTACCATGAATCTTTTTTCCGCTGCCCAACTTATTGATTCTGGTTGTCGTGTCATTCTTGATATCGACTCTTGCTCCATTTAGGATCGTTGCACCAAGGCTTTGGTTGGTGCTGTCCCCCGACACCGTGAGTCAGAGGGCCTTTGGGAGGTTGACTGGCTTTGTGTTCCTTCTGCTACCACCACTTCTGCCAGCTCCCATGCTCTTGCCGCCTCTTCGTCTGCGTCCTTCCAGCAGTGACATCATCGCCTTGGTCACATCTGTGGCTCTCGCTTGTCTTCTTTAGTTCGTCAGGGCCTCCTAGGGTCTGTATCTGGAGATGTTTCTTTACATTGTAATGGTTGCAGACTTGGCAAACAGACCCAGTTACCTTATCCTACCAGTGAGTCGGTATCTCAGCGTCCTTTTGACTTGGTTCATTCTGATGTCTGGGGGCCTGCTCCCTTTGATTCGAAAGGTGGTCATCGCTACTATATCTTGTTTATTGATGATTTCTCTCGCTACACTTGGCTCTACTTTATGAAATCTCGTAGCGAGGTTCTCTCTATATACAAACGTTTTGCTGCCATGGTTTACACCCAGTTTTCCACGCCCATTCGTACTTTTCGTGCTGACTCCGCTGGTGAGTTTATCTTCCGGCTGTTGCGTGGTTTTCTTGCGGAATAGGGTACTCTTGCCCAGTTCTCATGTCCTGGTGCTCATGCTCAGAATGGCATTGCCGAACGTAAGCATCGTCATCTACTTGAGACAGCTTGTGCGCTGATGATTGCCGCTTCCCTTCCACCCCACTTTTGGGCTGAGGCTGTTTCTGCATCCACCTATCTCATCAACATTCAGCCATCGACTGCTCTGCAGGGTGGTGTTCCTATGAAGTGTCTCACTGGTCGTTCTCCTAACTACTCAGCTCTTCGTATGTTTGGATGTGTGTGCTATGTCCTTCTTGCCTCGCGAGAACGCACCAAACTGACTGCTCAGTCGGTTGAATGTGTTTTCCTTGGCTACAGTGATGAGCACAAGGGCTATCGCTGTTGGGATCCTGTTGGTCGTTGTTTGCGCATCTCGCATGATGTGACCTTTGACGAGTCTCGCTCTTACTACCCACGTCCTTCTTCCTCGAGCTTCTCTGTGAACGATATATTTAGATTTCCTCTACCTCTGAAACTTTCTTTATTTCCCAAGAGAAATATATTTAGGATCTTCTTGCTCGTGTTGCTCTTACTGATGAGTGCACTGTTGACACTCTCATGGAGCTCAATGTTCAACTCCATGCTTCCGATGGTGATCCCTTGTCTGATCCAACGCGTCATGGGCATTTTGAGCCAGTTTGTTTCTGCTCCCACTTGGGTTCACTGTAGTCACCTTCGTGTTCTGCGATATCTTCGTGGCACGATCTTTCAACGTCTTCTCTTTTCCTGCTCCAGTTCTTTACAGCTTCAGACCTATTCGGATGCTTCGTGGGCTAGTGGTCCCTCAGATAGCCGTTCACTTTCTGCTTATTTTCTTGTTGGTTCTCTCATCGCGTGGAAGATGCAGAAACAGACTGCAGTTTCCCATTTGAGTGCGGAGGCTGCGTTGTGACTGACTTGGTTACGATGGTTACTTACTTCAGGAGTTTGGTGTTTCTGTCACTACACCTACTCCCCTCCCGTCAGACAGTACAGGTGAAGCATGAGCTCCCCAAGCATATTGGTGTTAATGCTTCTTTTGTGCGTGCTGCTGTACAGGATTAGGTTATTCCTCTTCAGTATGTGCCTTTCGAGTTACAGTTTGTGGATTTTACGAAGGCCCAGACTAGAGAGTTTGAAGAGGGGGGGGGGTTAGAGTTATACTATGTTCCATTATAGCTTGTATAATTTTCCCTGTTGTATGAGGGGTTTCATGCATATTTACTACCTGTACATCTATATATATACTGGCCATTGGCCCCCAGGAAATACAAGTTGCATATTTCCTAACAGTTGCATTTACATATTCAGCCTACTGTGATATTACTTAGATTCTTATGAAAAATAATTTAACTAGGACATTTTTTGTTTGTCATCTCCAGGATAACTGCAAGAACAGCAGATGGAAAAGAAATTCTTCCCAGTAAAGAAGTGCCATATTTCTTCACTTTGGGTAAATCTGAGGTCAGTGGTATCCTTGTTGCATGTAGTAACAGCATAGTGTATTAATTTTGCGCTTTTGGACATTCTATTGTATCTTATAGGAATGCAAGATATAGGTATATCATGTGCTTGTCTAAACACTTCTGTCCAAATTTGCAACTTACTCCCTCTGTAAAGAAATATAAGAGCATTTAGATCACTACTTCAGTGATCTAAACGCTCTTATATATCTTTACATTTGAGAACCACACGGTGCCCACTGTACGCATTATTTGGGCTATCTAGTTTAGGTCTAGCATACTTGGTGTAATGTAAAACTCATCTGCTGATTCTATCATTCTAAAATGCATAAAAAGCTATATCATTCCCATTGATTCTCCTAACTTCTGTTTGCTATGCATTTTTTTTCCTGTTTTAGTTTAGGCACCTAAAGGCCTTGAGATGGGAATTGGAACAATGGCACGCAAGGAAAAAGCAACTATTTATGTTACCAGTACCTATTTGACAGAGTCCTCAGTAATGCCGCAACTTGAAGGCCTTGAAGAAGTTCATTTTGAGGTGGAACTTGTTCAGTTTACTCAGGTATAGTCATAATTAGCTATTAGATACTTCCATTAAACATTTGTTTAGAATTTGAATTACGGCCTATGGTCTTCTAGGGGGTTTCCGTTACATACCATAGTATTCCTGCTTTATTCAGGCTGTGTTTTTGATGGAATTACATGCTCTCCTTGAGGATGATGAAGTTTGTCTGGTCATACTTTCTTTTATCACCAAATGATTATGATTCATATACTACACTACAACTGATTTTAGGAGCTGTATAATGAAGTAATTTATTACCCATCATTTGTGATGCCACACCATGGTCTACTATTCATTATAGCATAAATCTAAATCAAGGCGCTAAACCCATAATTCGCTTCAAAAGTCTAAAACATGCAAGGTAGCCTAGTCAATTTCCATATCTAACCAATCACAACTAACGACTGGCAAACCATCAATATTTGTGGCTTTTAAAATACATTGAAGAAATTTATTACCTAGGAAATTTGGAAATCTCATGTTACTTGATAAAGTTGAAGACCAAAATCGAATTATTATGATTTTCTGGCTCATTTAAAGAAGCAGTAGAGAACTGGATATTGACACTAGAGTTGTGGCATGGCCCAAAATATCCAATATGGATAACTGGCATTTTATTATAAAAATAAATTCACTTGGTAAGGGGTGATAGGGCCATCATAGGTACTCCAGCTTACCTAACTTTTCAATGCACACAGGTTCTTATAGCTGGTAGTGTAGATACAACACACTGAAGGCTTCTTACTCTAGTTTACTTTATCGAATATGGACCTAATTGTATTATACTTTACTGTGATTCATTTGTTCATCACTAGAATCTTCTTTTAGCTATAACTATGCCTATAACATACAAAGTTATGCTAACAGTTTGTGTGATGTAATAATAGGTCAGGGATATGCTTGGTGATGGACGCCTCATAAAGCGCCGTGTAGTTGATGGAAGTGGTTGGTAACCTTTTGTATTTTACATGTTGATACTACCTATGTCCCCTCTGGTCCCAATACCTTTGACCCTTGTAGTGTAGCAAAATTTATCTTTCACAGAATTATACTATAAATGTTGCTTTCTTCCCTCTGTCCTTTGTAGTGTAGCAAAATTTATCTTTCACAGAACTATACCGGTAGTGTTACTTTCTGTCCTGTGTGTCCACCTACTGAAAACTGGTACCTTTTGATTTTCTTGTGCTTGGTTACTGTGATACTTTAGAGGATACACATTTTTTAGCACTTTTTACCATTTGAAGAATTTCAATGTTTTACTTCATTAGTAGAAAATCCATTAAGTACAGGTCTAAAAGGTAATAAATGTAATAGCACATTTGTCTATTTTGTTTAAAATCTCCCTATTTCCTGTTGTCCTTTTTTTTACTTGGAATGATGGATTGTTTTCTGTTTGATTCAAGTAATAGGTCTAAAAGGATACTGGAATACAGATTAAGAACAGAACTAAGGAGTGAGAAATTGGACAAAACTATTTGCTATTTATCATGTTAATTTTACTTTATAAGTGCAAGTTCGTTAATAGGGTGATCATTGTAGATTTTTAATCTTGATGAGTAGTACATGAAGTTATCATTTTCCATTCTTGTTTTACCATGTAACACGCTTACTTAAGCTGCTTTTTGTTTTCTTCCAAAATATCAGGTGAATTTCCTATGGACTGCCCCCTTCATGATAGCTTGTTAAGAGTTCATTACAAGGGGATGCTCCTTGATGAACCAAAGTCAGTATTTTATGATACACAAATTGATAATGATGGGGAACCATTGGAGTTCTGTTCCGGAGAAGGATTGGTAAATATTATAGCTTTTATTTTATCTACATAATCAATCTTAGTTACTTTATTAAATCTTGCTGTCAGAATGTGGCAAATGGACAACAAACATTAATACCGACCATTTTGTTTCGAGAACCATGGGTCTCCGAATCCTACTTTTGTTTCCTATTTTTAAAGTATCACTTAGACTTTATTTAGTTCAAAAATAAGAATTTACAATACAGAAACTGTGAAAGTTGATCACATATGGCATTGACCTTTAAACTTTGTATATGTTAATAATTTGAACTCCCAATAGGGTTTCAGGGCTTCGCTTTCAAATTGATGGTTCTGTATGCTTATTGTCCTTTCTTAGAACTATCACATACTTACGTGAAAAAAATAAAATGGGACTTTGTTATCACATAAGTACTCCCTCCGTCCGAAAAAGCTTGTCCCTCAAATGGATGTATCTAGATACATCCATTTGAGGGACAAGCTTTTTCGGACGGAGGGAGCAATACTTTTATACACTTCCTGTTATCGTTTTCTCTTAGAATTCTGTCACTACATATCTCTAGTTTTGAATGTTAAAATATGTTTCATCCTATCAATTGAAGAAGAGTAACAGATGTTTTGATGCATTGTCGTAGGTTCCTGAAGGATTTGAAATGTGTGTTCGACTAATGCTTCCTGGTGAAAAATCTATTGTCACGTGCCCTCCAGATTTTGCGTATGATAAATTCCCAAGGTCGTACCAACCTTTCCATTCGTAATTTTTTTTTGGCAATGAAGCTTTTTGAATAATCGGATATGGTGCAACAGGCCAGCGAATGTTCCTGAAGGAGCTCATGTTCGGTGGGAAATTGAATTACTTGGATTTGAAGTTCCCAAGGTATGAAACCATTTGTTTTTCTGTTGCTTTTTACGGTGTCATAATACCATTATAGGCACTGCTTGGGATCAGACTTAGCTTTATTGTCGTTTTTTGACCCTTGGCCAATTCTGTCGAGCAATGGTTGTTTTGGATTTGTTGAGCGATTCTTTATTTTGGATTTATAACTTCATGATTATCGTGAGTACTGCAACTGCATGGCATACAACCATCTCTATTGATAATTATTGCCTTTTGATTTATCTGTAGTTCTTTTTATTGTGCTAAATTCCAAAATAAAGTAATAGACTGTGTTACATGCGTCACATATGTGCACAGGTAAATGCCAATAGTTTCCCTTGGGAGCTTTCTCATAACTCAGTGCAACATTTACCTACGGAATTATTTCTATTATTTATATATTAATATATTTTTTCTTTGGTTATGCTTGTCATATGATTTTAACTAGTGAATTTTCTTTTCTCAAATGATCATTGTACAAATGCAGGATTGGACTGGCTTGACCTTCAAAGAAATCATGGAAGAGGCAGATAAAATTAAGAACACGGTATACTTACAATGATTATATTATCTTTAATCCCGCCAATTTGTATTCGAGTGAGACTTGTTAAGCTTCATGCACTAGCCAACGCAACCAAAAGTCCGAACTGATGGAAATTGCTAGGCGGGCTAGGCAATCCACATATACACTTCAACACCTTTTCTGACTTGTGATGCGGGAAGTCAACACGTGAGAGGCCTATACGTGGACAGAGAGGGGGGCAGCAGCAATTTTTAGATAAATTGCGAAAGTCAGGACTTGAACTCAAGACCTTGGGCTCTGATACCATGTTAAGCTTCATGCACTAGCCAACACAACCAAAAGTCTGGACTGATGGAAAGGGCTAGGCAATCCTCATATACACTTCAACAAGACTGTCGTAGATGCACTTTTGCAGAAAATGGGTATATGCAAGAAACGTATGAGACATCTTTGCATAAAAATTTAGTTTCTCTCTTTCCTTTCTATCTGGACAAATTATTTCAACTGCTATTTGAATGATGTTTGCTAGAGCAACATGTCAAATGAATTTCAACCAAGTGTCTCGCAATCCTGAAGATGGTTATTTGGTTTAAGATGCCATTAGATGTATAGGCTTATGAGAATCCTGAGCTTTCCTTTGGGCCATCAGCTGGGTCTAGTCTATAGTGATTTTGAGCTTTTTTTTTGCTAGAGTTTGAGCCTACATTCAACCAGCACTTAGTTACAAAGTATTTCATAATTTTGATCTGGTACTTCATTATTGTTTTAGATTTTAGACAACTGACGTTAAACAGAATCGCTTTCACAGGGTAACAGACTATTTAAAGAAGGAAAATTTGAACTTGCAAAAGCAAAATACGAGAAGGTATGTCCACTGGTACTTGAAGTTGCTGTGCAATAAATTGATTACTTCTATTTATTATATAAATTGAGTCTTAGGTAGTGATATTCATCTGTGTCTCTACATCTTTCCTAAAAAAACCTATTCTTATTTGCAAAGATGTTCCCGGGCATGGCCAGGAAGAGTAGCCAGTCTATTCATGTTGTATGTCGGTGTTATATTATTTCCCTTTGATTCTTTATGCAAGTTTAACATTCTAACAACATATACCCGAAAAGGCTTTCGCTCCGCTTTATAAATAAAGCAAACCACCACGGCCACAAGGTAT